AGCTTAGCAAGGAGACTGAGAGTTAGCTAACTCCTGTGAATTGGGCTCCCCCTGTGCTTAGAGAGCAGTGGCACCGCTGAATGAAAACAAGCTTTTTATTTTTTTGTAAAGGATTTTCTCCTCCTTGATAAATAAGCAGAGCAATAGACTTGAGAATATTTTTCATTATATTTATGAATTTATAGCTGATAATTTCGGGCAAATTATAAAATTTGGTTCCACCCCCACAATACTCTATGGTGCTAAAATCTGTAATAATAAATATGTAATGATACTATGTTCTGATTTGTTGTTAATAGTTTCACATCTGTGCAGGAAACCTCCTCCCCTGCCCCCAGCTCTATGTAGCCTTTTTATTTGCTACATAGAGTGCTACAGCACTAATACAATGTTAAACTTTATTATTTTTTAAAAAAATCTTTTGTCTTCCACTGCAATTATTTGATTTACCCTACCCCACCTCTTTTTGATGGGTGTCTCTCCTGTTTGTCTAGGGCAGTGGTTCTCAACCTTCCTAATGCCGCGACCCTTTAATACAGTTCCTCATGTTGTGGTGACCCCCAACCATAAAATTATTTTCGTTGCTACTTCATAACTGTAATTTTGCTGCTGTTATGAATCGTAATGTAAATATCTGATATGCAGGATGTATTTTCATTGTTACAAATTGAACATAATTAAAGCATAGTGATTAATCACAAAAACAATATGTAATTATATATGTGTTTTCCGATGGTCTTAGGCGACCCCTGTGAAAGGGTCGTTCGACCCCCAAAGGGGTCGTGACCCACAGGTTGAAAACCACTTGTCTAGGAGGTTCTTAATATGTATTCTCTGTGAAAAACAAGATCCCTTATGTGAGAGAGAGAAACAAGCATAGTATGTATGATTGATCACAGTAGAGCACAGTGGAATAGAAATGTTTTTCCATTTTAATATTGACATTAAGTATTAGGGACCTAACATTGACATGGCACGTCACCGCTTTATAGGAACAAGTAAGTAGTATTCCCATTTTAGTGTATGTAGCACTCATCCCTCTCCCCCTATGGATTTCAAATAACTTAAAATCTTTAACTCCCTTATTTCCTAATATGCTCAAATTTCACCACGTTTGAAAGTGGGGTTAACGTAAAAGCAGTAGCCATACTACTGTAGGTTGAGGAAGGGAAATATATTTGAAGAAGATCCACAAGAAGAGTATGCTTAAACCTTTTTTAAAAAAAATTTTTGGTTTAAACACAAAATATATAATCTTGATAGTTTTTTTCTGATTTTGAATATAGTTTCTGTGAATGTCTTATACTTGCTGATGTGAAAATTTTGTGCAAGTAAGCACATAGTGGGAAATAGTTCAGTAATAAGTGTTTTCCATTAAATCGTGTTGCAAAAGTGCAAAATTAAAAAGAAATCTAAATTATAGGATTAGGGTAAAAGATGTTTTAGGTCCTTTGGGGGTCGCCTAAGACCATCGGAAAACACATAAATAATTACATATTGTTTTTGTGGTTAATCACTATGCTTTAATTATGTTCAATTTGTAACAATGAAATTGGGGGTCACCACAACATGAGGAACTGCATTAAAGGGTCGCAGCATTAGGAAGGTTGAGAACCACTGTTTTAGGAGGTTGACTGTGTTTGGTTTTCAAAGGCATTTATCCCTTGGGCTGAGCCCTTCAGCACTTTCTCTGCTATATTTAAAGATATCTTTGAAGCATTGAATTGTGAAGAAATTCCGTTTGCTTTACAAGGCACCAGAAAGTAGCCCTAAGCATAATTATTAATGTTTGTCAGTGAGATATTTTGATACTTAAAATCTGTAAAATATGAAATGCTTAGCTTTTATGGCTTGCTACTTCTCAGGTTTTTCAAGACTGCCTCCCCCACCCTCCCCAATTGGTTTGAAAACAAGATCATGCCAGAAATTGTAGTCCTGGCTGGTGTGGCTCCGTTGGTTGGAGTGTTGCCCAGTGTACTGAAGGGTCACAGGTTCAATTCCAGTCAGGGCACACCTAGGGTTCAAGTTTGATCATTGGTCAGGGCCCATACTAGAGGCAGCTGATTGCTCTCTTTTTTTCTGTCTCTCTCTTTCTCCTCCCCCCCCTCCCTCCCTTTCCCTGTTCCTCTCTACCACTCTCATTCTCCCTTCCTCTCTCTAAAAAATAAAAAACAACCAATAAAAAATGAATATAGGTTTTAATCTATAAACAATGGATGAGTTTCAAGTCTGAAAATCCCTTACCTTATGCAGGATATGAATGAGTCATGATTGTCATGCTCCCCTCCCCCCCCACCAATAATTTCTCAGGGGTTCTGTGGCCTCCCCACCCCTGTGTTCAAAATTAGTGTCAGAAGATCCTTCATGTGGTTATTTCTCTTAATTATCATGAGTTAAAGGGGATTTAGGCTCAGGAATTGATACATTTAGGTGCCCACTCTGTTTTGTGGGAAAACTAGAATTTCCACTTAAATGTCATTGTGATGAAATAGTTAATGCCATCACCACTAATGTCAGTTCTGAAGTGAAAGAAAGAATGTAAGACTTCCTAAGAGTCGATGCTTGACTGGGCAGTTAACTCTAGAATTGTTATCATTACAAGATGTTGTAGTTGTTGATACTCTAAGATAGTGGCCTTTGCTTATGGTTTAGTGTTCTCACCTAAGTGGAAAGGGTCTCATTGGTCCTCTTAAATCTGTGGACTATTTTAGTGCCACAGTCGATTACTGGATTGCAGCAGCTTTATGTGAGTTGTAAATTTATACTCTGTCCTTAAGAATGCCACTGTGTGGAGGCCATTATGGTAAAGTTTGCTTTTGAAAAGAGGGAAAAGAGAATAGCAATGCATGACCCTTTGTTTAGGAAATTATAACTTAATTGGAGGGGGCACTTTCATAACGTCGGAACTCCTAATATATGAAACACAGAAGAACCTGTTATGCATTGATTGTGCTTGGATAAGAAAGTGAATGGTGGTGGTAGATTTTGCTTATGTAGTGGATATTTTTTTCTATTTAAGGACTTTAAAAAAACAGCACCAATTCCAGTTCACACTTCAAAAATTAATAAATCTTTAAAATAATCAAATACCAGTCAGAGATCATCCATTTAAAAAAATATATGTTTTATTGATTTTTTTACAGAGAGGAGGGGAGAGGGATAGAGAGTTCGAAACATCAATGAGAGAAACATCGATCAGCTGCCTCCTCCACACTCCCCACTGGGGATGTGCCTGCAACCAAGGTACATGCCCTTGACCAGAATCGAACCTGGGACCCTTCAGTCTGCAGGCCGACACTCTATCCACTGAGCCAAACCTGTTAGGGCTTTTTTTTTTTCTTTAGGTTCTTTGTATAGCTAGTTGCACTACTATGGTTGTTTTCCCCCTATGAGCCATTCTCTTGCTGCTCTGAGTAGGCTGCAGGGGAAGGAAAGATCTAGGACCAGATTTGTAGGTATGAGATGCAGTTTAATTTTTGGATTTCCCTTGGTTGATCAATTCTGAGAGGATTCTAGTGCCTTTTATCATTTTTGGATACCCTAAATTCTTAGTGTTTTTGTCCTTAGTATCCTTTGGTTAGTCAGATAACTTACTCTAAACTGTTCCAGGGTGCAGACTTTCCAGTCATTGTAACACCATTCTATGCCTTGTCTTTCATATCAAAACTGAAATCCCACCCTCATTTAACTCTGTTTCCAATTTTGTATCAAGAATGTTCATTTGCTTAACTATAGGACTTTTTATACTCTTTCCACCAATATCTAGAGGTAGACATGGGTTGGTAGAAAACAGTGGAAAAGGTAGAGGGAGGAATAAATGTGAAAATTTTTACTTTGTGTATTTTCCCCTTTGTTTATGGTTCAGGAAAGGGAATTTATGTGAAGCAGCTATAAAGCATTGCATTTTCTTTAATTTTCATCTGTTAAGGAATCTGTTTCTCCTTTTTCTTTCCTATTTTAACTTCCCCGTGGGAGGTTTGGTTAATTGTATCAATCAGGCCTTCTTTTTTGTTTCTTCTGCCTTGTGAAAACTCCTTAAAGGTGTAGCATACTAAGTGTTAGAACAGAAGGAAGCCTTCACTAAACCCTCCCTGCCCCACTAGTTTAGGTCAGGGTTTCTCTGCTTCAGCACTATTGATATTTTGGACTAGATAATTGCTTGCTGGGAGGAGCTGTCCTGTGCAGCAACCCTGAGTGGAAGCCAGAAATGTCTCCAGACATTACCAGATGTCACTTGGAGGACAAAATTGACCTTGGTTGAGAATCACTGACTTAGCTCTCCTGTTAAACAGTCTTAAAGCACTCTGTACTTTCCCTTCTAGTGATTACTACAATTTTAAGTGGTTACCTTTCCCCCAGAGTGTAAGTTCCCTGAGGACAGTGACCATATATTGTCATTGCTTCATATCCTTCATATATAGCCGTGTCTTAATACATTGTGTACACGAAATACAGATTTCTTGAATGAATGGATGGATGACATACTAGGCAGATGATTGACTCTGGACCAAGGTAGTTAACACTTCTGGATATTTTGTTTTTTCCTCTGTAAATAAATTACCAATTTGAGATTGTATTTAGACTTTCTGTTGGAAGATTCTTAGACTAAATATAAAATTAACTTTTTGAAGGGCTTAGTATGTATAAGCATTATTTGGAAGGTCATTTTATGGTATTGTAGGACTATAAGAGATTAGATGGACATTTTTAAATCAGAACTTTGATGTGTTTATGTTTTTCACTTCTTACTAAGGGGGAGAGTCAGGAGGGGACTTGGCTTAGAGCTAGTGATTATATTACTACTCGTACACAGAACTTCAGATATCTCTTTCTAGGGCCAGTTTTGCTGGTGTTGGACAACTACTAATTCATAGTGATATGAGAGAATGTAATGAACCTTGACCTTGAACACTGGCTGAGTTCCTAAGCTCTTAAGTGAGCTCAATTTATTCTGGTTTTGTTTTCTCAACATATTTCTCTACTCCTCTCTCTCAGGATTGTGCCTCTACTCCTGCTTGTACAGACTGCTTTTCCAGCAGCATGGACACAAGAAGCATAGTAAGATGATTATAACCCACGTAAGGCAGGCCCTTTGGAAAATACTAGGTTTAGATTGATACTGAAATGATGTCTTGATTATATGGGCAGTACTTGGGAAGCAGAATAAAGCTGGTCACTTAGAATATATTAGTAATCTTAAAAGAGAACATGCAGGAAATAAGTTTAATTTCTTCACACACAAAAATAGGTTAAGTGAAATAGAAGTTATTTTCTTAATAGTGAGTATAAATTATATATACTCTGGTTGCATTTATTTGCCTTCTGCTTCACAAAATTTTACTGTATGTTTTGTAAAAAAATTCATTGCCTACTTAATATGACTAAAATGCAATTTGATGGTTGGAAATAAAATGCATCTTATATTTTGAGGAAGTTCTTCAAACTATAAGATGACAAATCATTGACAGATATGCTGTAGGAATAGAGAAACAAAAATGATAATCAAATTTTTGATTTTTTAATTACAGAAGAGCAGATTTTGGTAGAGGTACTATTTATGAGAAATAAATGTTGATGAGAAATGTTTCTATAGCCTGTGATTTCTTATCTGAGTTAATACTATCTCAAGTTTGATTGTAAACATGATACATTTGCTTTCCTGATTTTGATTTTATGCATTTATTTTGTCTTTCTAATTCTGCTTTACAAGAGTTTCTGATAAGACCATATTTTAAACTCAGGGAAGGGTATGTAAATGTGTTATGGTATCTACTATAGGTCAAGATATAGCTTACAAACTTTGACATCTATTTAGTTAGAATGGGGAATATTGATTATTCATTGTTTTTGATTTACTTATTTTCTATTCATGTTTTTAAAAATAATGTGGCTATTAAGTTAATATATGCCAAGTTTTTAAAATAATTCTGCAACTTAATATAGGTTGACTTGAAAGACCTGGGATTTAATTTTTTCGTTCATTTGTTCATTCATTTAACCAATATTTAATGGATGTTTACTATGTACCAGACACTTTTCTATCTGCTGGGATAGTGATAAACAGGATAAGCGAAAGCTTACCCTCTTGGAGCTTATGTTCTTGTAATCCTTTGAGTGCAGTGGTCTTGCTGCAGAGCTAGTGAGGCTGGTAGGCATTACTGAGTCCAGTTGATTCTTTTCTAGGGATTGCTTTGTCTGGGACATCTCTCCAGGCTCAGATCTGCCTGGTCTGTTCTCAGCATTTTGCCTTACAGAGTCCACATTGCTCATCTATTAAAAATAGAGATTGAGCAAGTAGACTTACTTAAACAAGAATATGGTATGTTTTCAACAATGGCCTAACACAGGGGTGGGCAACCTTTTTGTGAGTGTGTGCCAACACCAGCAAAATCTCTGACTCAAAATTCTTCTGCGTGCCAACCCTAATTTTTTGAGAACATGTTACGCCTACTTGATATCTCTTAAGGTGTATGTATGTGAAGAACCTTGAAGAAATAATAAAATTCATTCGAGCGACAAAAACACAGTATATGATGATGAAAAATACATTTATTTTTTAATGTATACATGTTATATAAAATTATTTATCTAAGATGCACCTACACTGAATTTATCTGAAAAAAAAGTCGATATTAAGAAAAAAATTGCAAATGGAAGATTATAAGAGAGGGTTTCACGTGCCAGCAAAAGTTACTGGCGTGCCATGTTTGGCACGCGTGCCAGGGGTTGCCCACCCCTGGCCTAACATGTATTTAAAAATACATTTGGTATTTTGGAATAACTCTTTCTTACAAAATACAGCCAGTAAGGATGTTTTCTTTTGTCCGTGAGATAGTAGTGTCCACATGTAAATGATTTAAAAATACTTTAAGTGGTGACCAAACCTTTATGAATTTAGAAAAATAAATTAATATTTTTATAACAAACTTTCCCTTGACTTAAGTATATGAAAAAATTTGGCCTCCCCCCCCGCCCTCCCCCCCCCACACACACACAAACATTTTTTTGAATTTGGTTTGATTCCTCAGGGCTTATTTTAATAGCACGTAAGTAAAGGAAGAAGCAGTTTGGATCATGTATTTACTCTGTAGAACTTGGGAAATGATATGAAGATCTTTTTGTACTGGGTCACAGTATGTAAAAGGTTGACCAGTATAGTATACCTGAAACTGATACGATGTTATATGTCAATTATGTCTTAATTTTTTTTTTAAAGTTGACCAAGTCCTAGTTAATGGCTTTCTTTAATTTAGCAATGTTTTGATACTATAGTTTTATGGCAAAAAAATCGATATAGCTATTTGCATTTATTGAAATGTTTGAAATTATATTGGTTAAAAGGATGTTGAATAAGTTAAAATATTTGCAAACCAAAACATTTTATGCAGCAAGTGTCTAGTTTCTAGTACCAGCTGCTCGCTATGATGAAAAATACCTGGCTTATGTATTTTTGAAGTACTACTCTTTTTTTTTAATCAAACATTGTTAAAAGTGAGCCGCTGTAATATATAGAGCTTTATAAACTCCTCTTTTCCCCAACCATCATTATATTTCAGTAGATCTTTAGGATAACCTTGTGAGAAAAGTAGGATAGGTATGACCCCCTTTTTCACAAGTGAATAAATTGAGGCCCAACCATTGTGGTTTTACCCAGGAAATGCAGCTTTGTGAGTATTAGAGCTCCGTCCAGGTTTCAAACTCTCAGATGTTTTTCTTATCCTTCTGTGTAAAGGATAAGAAAAATCACTTGATTTTTCACAATTTCTTTTTACTGGCATTGTCCAAATATAAGTTAACTATTTTTTCTCACTTTTTAAATTTTATTTTTACAACTTCAGATTTACAGAGAAGTTCTAAGAATTATAAAAGAATTTTTGTGTGCACTTCATCCTAATTCCTTTACTTAATTATAACCATATTTTTTCTTTCTTTCTCTGAACACATGCAGCCTTTTTTTTTTTGGAACATTTTGAGAGTAAATTGCAATTCATGATACCTTTTACTTCTAAATAACTGTTTTCTAAGAAGAAGAACAAAATAATCACATTGAAAGCATTGTTTCCTGATTAAAAAACAATAAATAAAAAGAAGGACATTCTCTTATATAACCATTGTACGATGATCAAAATCAGGAAATTAACATTGATACAATGCAATAGTTGCAGATCTTATTCAATTTCACTAATTGTACCAGTAATATCCTTAACAGAAAGAGTAAATTGTATACTACACCTTGCATTCATTTGTCTTGTCTAGTGTCCTTTAGTCTAGAGCTCTTAGTTATTAGTGTCTTTGTCATTTATGATCTTACTAGAGGCCCGGTGCACAAATTTGTACACGGTTGGGATCCCTTGGCCTGTCTGGTGATCCAGGCCATCTGGCCTATTGGGGCCAGCCGAGGAAAGGAACCGCAGGAGATTGGCCGGCTGCAGGAGGTTGGCTGTGGGAGCGCACTGACCACCAGGGGGCAGCTCCTGTGTTGAGCATCAGCCCCCTGGTGGTCAGTGCGTCCTCATAGCAACCAGTTGAAATGGCCACTTAGGCTTTTATATAGAGAGAGATAAATTGAGAATGGGCCAGTTCTTTTTAGAATTCCCTCAATATGGATTTGCTTGCTGTTGCTTCATGGTTATGTTTAGGTTATGCATTTGGCAGGAATACTCCAGAAATGATTGTGTCCTCTGGAAGTAGATGATGTCTATTTATCCCATTAATGGGAATGTTAACTTTTTTCTGCAAATTTTCTCCATTGTAAAGTTATTCTTTTCTCCTTGGTAACAAATATCTTAAGGGGAGATACTTTGAAACTGTGCAGATACCCTGTTACTCACCAAACTTGCACCCATTTGTTTTAGCAACCATTTAGTTCTTCCCTGAATCAGTTATTACTAAGATGGTTGCCAAATAGTGATTTTCTAAGTCTATTCTTTATGTATTAGTTGGACATTTTGTAAGAGCCTTTCTCCTCGTTTATGTATGTATGTATACATGTAGTATGAACTTATGGATTCCTTTTTACTCATTGGGGTGTTTTGATGCTTAGATTGCCTCAGTTTTGACCAGTTAGAGCTCTTTCAAACTGGCTCCTGTGTTTTTTGTTTGACATGTGCTCATCATTTTTTGAGCACCCCCTTACTTTCTTGAATAATACGACATTCCCACCCCAGCCCTGGAATCAGCCATTTCTCCAAGGAGCCCTAATTTCTTTTAATAGATATCTATTAACAGATTGAGCTGAAAATTATATATTTATATATAGACATAATTTTCTTTACCTAAAAAGCCATTGAGTTCACCCTGATGATACCATCAATTCCATTCTAACATCGAAGGGTTCATTCTAGCCTTTCCCCTTTCCAAATGTTATTTGATCAACCATAAGGTACACGAAAGTAGTTTCAGAGTTGTTAAACCGTATGTCTGTGAAAATAAACCTTTAGCCCTAGATGGTTTGGCTTAGTGGATAGAGCATCGGCCTGCAGACTGAAGGGTTCTGGGTTTGATTTTGGCCAAAGACATGTGCCTGGGTTTCAGGCTCAATCCCCAGTAGGGGGTGTGAAGGAGGCAGCCTATCAATAATTTTCTCTCATCATTAATGTTTCTATCTCTATCTTCCTTTCCCTTCCTCTCTGAAATCAATAAGGAAATACATTTTTTTAAAAAAGAAAACCGTCTACGGCCATACCACCCTGAACGCGCCCGATCTCGTCTAAAAAAGAAAACCTTTAACCAAAATTTAATATTTGTTTATAGTTCGTTTTTTATTTAGCCTTAGGGTATACAGTCAAAATACTGTGTTCAGTCATTGCTTGATCAGTTTTTTCCCTAAATGTAGTTTTATTCATTTAAAATATAATTAGGTTCAGTTTCTTCCTGTTTGTATTAATTTTGTTTTCTTCTTTTTTGTTATTTTCTAGTATGTGAAACATTAAACATAAGCTAACTTTAATCCTCCTTTACTTTTTATTAGCTTCAGCTTCATAACCACTTAATGCCTTGGGTAAATAAGTTTTTCCTTAACATTCTTAAAAATCAAATGACAAGCCCAAACTTCAGAG